CATACTTAATGAATTCTCCCTTATAGAGATCTATCGAACAAGTGATTGCATTCAGATTCAAAAATCTAAGAAAAACCAAACCAGAACATAAAGAGAAAAGTTCAAGCTCCACCTCAGACATATTAACAAAACCAGCTAAGAGACTGAAACTGGCTGATCCAAATGCCTTGCCTGACATACCTCCAGGTGAAACAGAAGATACCTTCAAGGATCACATGAAGAGGCTTCAAAAAGAGATGACCAAAACAAAAGGAAAGAACCAGCAGCTAATAAAAACTCTGATGGATGCCACTTTTGCAATGGGTCGTCGAGAAATTGTTCAAAATGCAGTGTCCATAAATGACCTTTTAAAGGGATTTCCGGCACTAATTAACTCTTACTTCTGAGGTATATAGTAACCACAAAATGTTAAGACCAATGCTACTTTTGCATGCTACTTGCATGGAAAATAACTTAAACACACAATGGACCTTTCCCCTTTTAGACGAACTTTTGAATCAAGAAATTCATTAGCATAGCTGGAAAGAGCATCATAAATTTAGTGAAACTGTGAAGTTTGGTTACAAAATAGTGTAAAATGTGGAAAATACAGTCATGTAAAGTTTGCGAATTTTGTATACTTTTGTATTACGCACGGAAATTAAAAGTGATAATCAGATTTCGAATGTGATTATCACTTTGTCGCGCATAATACAAAAGTATACAAAATTCCCAAATTTCACATGACTGTATTTTCCACATTTTACAATATTTTGTAACCAAACTTCACAATTATACTAAATTTATGATGCTCTTTCCAGTTGTACTAATAAATTTTCCTAATTCAAAAGTTTGTCTAAAAGGGGAAAGCTAGGTCCATTGACCCACCGTTTCTTTTATTAGCTTAAGCGAGAATTTGGTCGAATATCACAAGTAAGATGTAAAGATGCGATGGATAAACTAAGATCACTGGCACCAAACATTGTTGAGTATGGCCAGCAAATACCAGCAGTGAAAAACCTAATCTCAAATCTCTCTACAATGGATGAAGATAGTAAACCAGAAAGTATGTATTCTCACAGCAAAATTATTTGTATGCTTTTACTAATTCCACAATTAACATTTCAGTTGTGTCTAATATATTCTACACGTACAGATTAAACACCAGACAATCCTATTTATCATTAGGTAGAACTCCTGGAAGTTCAGGGGTGAACACAGATTAAAATTCAGGATCCTTTAAGTAGCCTATACTGCTTTCATTTAGCCTAATATAAACTTCCAGGGGTTCTCACTTGACGATTAATAAAGCTTGGTTTTTTGCCGATGCTCAATGTGCCATTCAATTGAATAACAACACATCACCTGGTCACAGAATAGACAATAATACCAGAAGAATCACTTTTGTCACAACCTTTGATATTTTTGTCACAGAGTAGATAAGACATACAGAGACGTAACTGACCATTGTAAACACTGCGGAAGATTACGTTATCATGTACCCACTTTTTTTCAGGCGACCGGGCGAAAAATGATCAACTGCACATGCTCAGCAAGTTTAAAGTGAGTCGTCATCAGGTCGTCATCCAATCAGATGCATGCATCTAGTAACTTGCCGAGCATGCGCGCACAAAAAAGTGAGTACACTAGTTACGTCTCTGTATGTCTCTACTCTGTGTTTTTGTCCTCAAAAATGTAACTCGCTGATGCCAAATCACGCCATCCTGGCTAGTACAACCTAAGGCTTCGATAGGTACAAAGTACCGGTTACACTACCCAGGATGGTGAAGGATGCCGTGAATTTAACTTGCTGACGTCAATTTACGCCATCCTAGCTAGTACAACTGGAGGTTTTGATAGGTAAAAAGTGCCAGTTGTACTTGCCAGGATGGCGTAAATTGGCGTCAGCAATCACGCATGCGCTTTGAGAAATCGCGAACAGAGTTTTGCTGAAGTGAGACTTCTGCATGGTATTACTTAATTGTGTGACCTGGTGGAGGACAATGTCTTAGGGGTCTTTTAAATCACATTTCTGAGAGGGGTAGGTGTGTATATTATTAGGTACAGCCTTAAGAATTATACTGTAGAATTTTTTAAAAATACCAAATGATACGTACCGGTTTAGAGTAGACATTAGATGGAAATTAAATGAGCATGGGTTAAGCTTATTGTCCCCATTGGAACCATGTTGGTTATTTGAGCAGCAGGTAGCACCCCAATTCCCCAATACTTTTGTAAATACTGAATTCAAGCTGATTTTAAACAATTTTAGATTTAAATGAAACTATTGCTATACTGGTGCTGGCCAAGGTGCTAAAAGATAAAAGAGATGACATGTTTCTCAAGGTTGTTGATGTAAGTTATCAGACCTGGATGTTATTGGCATAAATTTTGTTCCAATATTAATTGGCTTGGTATGCCCAATGAGGATGATCCAAAATGAATATTATCAAGTGATAATTATATCTGCACGTCATGTGTTGCAATTTTGATTTCAGACTTGATGATCATTGAATAAATTCTGGGGTCCGATGAACACAGGAATTGTGGCTCCAAATTACAATAAAAAAGAGTTTTGAGTGTTTAATCTTTTACATGCAAAATACATAATAGGCAATATTTTTTCAACTTTAGGAAAATGATGACATTGACAAAGTCATTGCAGAAACAACCGCACCAAGAATTGTCGCTGGGGAAAATCGGCCTTTACCAGATCCAATATATATTGCAATGGATGGTATGATTGTCACTGGGCCAATAAGAAGTTGTTTACTGGATGCCACCATAATTCTACTCGCTGTTTATCATACATTCAACATCCAATACCCAACACCTTGCAATGTGTATCCATTTTTCAAAAATTGCCTGTTTGGCAATAACAATGCAATAAAGAACAAGGTCGTGATAAACAAAATTCTAAGTTTTATAAAGCCATAGAACATGTGATTTTTTCTGCATGCATCTGTATATTTATATACACAAACCTAAAATGTTAAAGGTTAACCAGGAAACAGTAAATGTTCTTATTCTTTGTATCATTGTCAAAAAATTTTGGAATTGAATTTACTTCACAACGAGAGTGAAAGTAACTCTCTTATTTGGCATTAAACTAACTCCTTATTTACCGGAGTTAAAATGACTCTGGATTTGGAGTCATTCTGTCACCGTTGCTTCAACTCTATTTCCGAAGTTGAATTTACTCCACAACTAGAGTAAAAGTAACTCTCTTCTTGGGAGTTAAACTAACTCTGGATTTGGAGTCATTCTGTCACCGTTGATTGAACTCCATTTTTGAGTTGAATTTACTCCTTAAAATTTACTGTGTGGCATTGAGTTCGCTGACGCTGTTTAACAATACTGAAGTATCAAGTACTTGTCGACGTTGTCTTGTAGTTGCAGTAATAATCGAGAATCAAATTATGAGTAAAAACGTAATACTGTAAAGTGCAAAGTGACAAAATATAACTTACATTGTATATGCTGCTAGCATCTGTCTTGAATCGGGAACCATTACAAACTCACAGTTTCTCGTTATAGTCAAGCGACTTGATGCGCTGAATCCAATTGTCAATTGAAGATAATATCGATCGAACCCCACGGAACAACGAAACACGAACATACTGTGTATTTACCGCAAAAAATCAATTATACTAGTCTCATATAGTCAACAATATCCCGCTTATACTAATACAAGTATTGATTGTTTTGGCAGGACTCGTGCACGCATGGTCATTATGATATTAAAGAAATGAGCCATGAAATATTTGCGGAGGCGTAAGGTGCTTTGTTTGTGTTAGATCTGTGAATTGAAATATTTTAGAGTTTATACTGGTCCGAATGTTTTTGGCACGTGTCAGAAAAATTTCAGCTGATCGTGTTTGTTTTCCCCATCTATAATCTGTGTTCAATGAATATATGAATGTTGCTAGCTTGCAAACTGTGTCAGGCCGAATTTTCCCAAAACAGGCAAAAGGCAAACTCTATTTGTGTCAATTTGTAACCGCGAGTAATATCAGAAATTTTTCATCATGATGCGCATGAAAATATGTGTTGTTGGTTTTGCCAGCTTATAAGTATAAAACTACAAATACAAATATATTAATTTTTCAAACAACTGCATTATCTTGTCAAATTTTCTCAGCTATATAGCATTGAAGAATATGCCAAATTTCGATGGTCAAGAATGCATGGCCAATCTACAACGGCATGGTTATATGAGAATTTTTTTTCATCAAACACTGTTTTTCACAGAGAGATTAGAGTTTTGAGTAAGTTCTAGAAAATGATATATATAGCTATTGTAGGTGATAAAATATTAAAGTCAATGTTCATGAATTTTGTGCATGCATGCATGCCCATGCAGCTATCACAATGTTACCG